CTTTCAGTGAGCTCATTAACTTCTTGAAACCACATCTGTACAGTGGGGTTAATAACAATTCACCTCATTGGATTGTTGCTGGGATTAAGTGAGACAACATTTTTGAGTTGCACACAGAAAGCATTATCTGAGTATTTCATAAAGTAAACAAATGAAATCTTTCACCAACACTCAGTGTCACTGATGTAGAGATAATAAAATTTAAGTTGATAGAAGTCAAGTGCTTTCAAATCTGGGCCTGTCTGGCTTCACTAAACTACAAAAATGCTTAAAAGAATGTCCTGATATCTATAATTTATTTTGAAATGGATCAAAACTTATGTGGATTGGTGGGTGGATATAAGAATAGGTAGGTGATAAAATAAGTTCAATAAAATACTAACTATAGGATCTAAGTGGGGACATATGGCTGCTACCTGCAAATTTTGCTGTGCATGTCATTTTTTTCCATAATAAAATATTGGGGTGATAAAACAAAACCAAAATAAAGCAAAAAAGATTTAATGCCAAAATATAGATAGTAGAAAAAAGCAATAACACCACATTTAGAGAAACTATGGGCACAGTTAATCAGGAAATCCTCTGTGGTGCTTTGGTCTAAGGAGGAAAATCCAATCTGACTTACTTGTTTTAAAATGATCCAAACTTAATCATTTGACGAGAAACATGACATCAAGTTCTGTATTTAATTTTATTTATTTATTATACATTTTCTCTCTCTTGTGTTGGTGGGGGAAAAATCCTTAAGCACAAGAAGAGAAGCTCACCAGGTGGAGTCCCGACAGTTGGAGAGAAAAGAAAAATGAAGCCACTGTGATCAGCCCAGAGCAGCGCCTGTAGGTTACAGTGACAGGCCTGCTCGCCTCAGTCAGGCCGGCTGAGCCAGCATGAACTAAGGTCAGTGGTTATTAATCATCTGTCAAAGTCTGCATGGATTTATCAGATAATTATAGTTATAAGTACATTCATATCACACAAACATGTGGCAAGGCTGCAAGGGATTCAAGCCCTAACACAATCTGCAATGACATTTTGAAAACTGTGGATAAATGCTAAATCATAAAGCAAACACTTTAGAAAGAAAACCATGCCATTCATGACTATTTGGGAAGTCTAGAATTATTTTCTATATTGTTTATTTCTGTAAACATTTGAGACCTTACAGAGTCTTTGACTACCTTCCCTCCTCCTCAATTTTCTTATGACTTGTAAAAACGGCAAATGTGATCATCATTTGAAATGAAACACTGGTTATTGACTCCATCCATATGAACAGACAACCAGAATGTAATCACAGCTTACTTTATAAAACCCGTTCCTGAACAAAAATATCTCGGGTTGTTCTGAAGAATCTACATAAACACATAAATAGATGTGCCTGAGGGACAGCTCTAAACCCTACAAACCAATAGATGGCATTTTAAAATAAATGACTGAAGACTGTGAACAGCATCCATTTTGCTCAGTATGGCAGCATGCAAGTTTACATGCTAGGAAATATTTCTGAACATGAATGAACTGTGAAATTGTTTCCTCCTACCCAATACTCCTGTAAATTGTATTAGATTATGTTAGCCATTTCTGCATCTTGTGATACAGGCTGTCAGTGCCCCAAGAGACAGTGTGGGTGAACAAAGGAGGCAAGGGCCCCAGCAAATGAGATGCTAAGTATCAGTTGGTATGTTAGGCAGAAATAATGGAAAATATCACTCCCCCCATGCCTACCAAAGCAAGGGGAAGTGACTTCTGCAAATCTAAACACACAGAGATGAGGTGAACCATGTGTATTTCAATCCCTAGACTGTAAACATTTCAGGAAAGGATTACCATTGTATCCCACAGCATCCAACGTCAAGCACTGCCCTATGGGTGCAAGTGAACGCTTTATTTAGAGGAAACCAATGTATGAATATAGGCAGTGTTTTGGCCATTTTAACCCTAGAGATTACTTTTCAAAACACAAATTTGTTTGCTTTGTGGACTGCATACTATCTTTAATTTTACTCATCAACACATAAAACTAAGGAGGTAAATATGGTACAGAAATAAAAGTCTTTCCAGGATAAAAAGTAAATAAAAGACTTTGGGGATATTGGTTATTCTGTGACATTAGTAAAGCTAACTGAAAGTTGACTCTGTATATGCATATGTGGGTATGAGTACATATAACCTAAAAATCTCAGGTTTTAGGTCTCTGGAGTAGTTGCAGATATTTCACTGAAGCTAATGTGGCCATTTCACCTGCCAAAGGGCACCATCATATGCTTCTCTTGGTGGACCTGCACAGACACACATCCCCCATCCCCGCTATGTTTGCATTATTTTGATCACAACAGCACTTAATTCAGGAAGTCAAGGGCCTACCTGCTTCTCATGTATTGTTCAGAGCCTCTGCACACCAAGCTTTCAAGATTCAAGCTACTTGCTTGTGTATCCAAGGGGGTAGACTCAGAGACTTATCTTTTCATTTCTTATTTTTTCAGTAGTCATTATCAGTATCTTGTAACTTTAAAATTTAATTTTAAAGTTCTGTGTTTTAGGGTCTAAAGCACAGGATACTTATAATAAATATAATAAATATGAATCTTAAGAATCATTGCTTTCAATGTTAAGTTAATTACATGTATCACATGATTGAATCTGTCCTAGTTTTATATGATGATCTATGCTGAACTCATAATTTTATCAACTTCTTTATTTATGGCCCAATAACGCCTTTTGGCCAATCCTCCAAGCTACTGGATTCATTTATGAGCAAAGAGTTAAGCCATGTAATCTGTAGGCTTTCTGAACAGCTATATAATTTTCTAGGAAACTGGTGAATAACCTGCTGGAAAATGGGATTGGTGGCATTTGATTTTCTGCTTTGAAATTTGACTTTTAGTTTTATTATGCAAAAGTGTAATTATTTTTTCCTAAATGAACAAACATTTAAGTGGTTAAATGAAATATGCTGTCTGTTTAGTTGGTGAATTTTCTTATATTCTATTTTTGTGAATCAAATTTTAAAAGAGATATTTAAAATCATACACTACCACATCTAAACATTAATTAATATATTCAACATTATGAAGTATGTTTCCTATACAGGGCACTGTTCCCTTTAATAGTAAAACTGGTTTTCATATGGAAAGTCTATAATGAGTCCCATCAAAGTCACAGACTCATAAATCTGGAAGTAACCCCAGATAGTTTGTAAATCAAATCCTTTCCTTTACACATGAGGGTGTTCTTGTTATTAGATGAGGTCTGAACAGGTTGAGAGGCTTGCCTGAGATCATACACTGGGTTAGTAGCAGAGGTAGGATGAAAATTAGGCCCCTGTTTTCCTTTCACTGAAACAAAATGCTCCACTTTCTAACATAACTTTCTATCACGTTCATTTACTCAGCTTACAAGTTCTATTATAATTTGGACCAAAGTTAGACTTTCAGTTATCCTGAAAGTTTATTCATATAGAGATAGTCTATTGGTCAAATCTAGATGAGCTGCCAATTAGAAAAGACGTATTCACATATCAAGAGAGAACTATTCTGAAGAATGTTTAAACATCTTTCTATATACACTGAAATTACAGTCTCAATTTTCAACTCCTTATTATATCTATTTATAATAGTGACAATTCTGCCTACTAGGTAACACACAAGAAAGACAGATTGAGTATACAGACAACCAGAAACACTTAGAAGAGATTACTAATAAAGAACAATTACTCATGAACATTCTGGGCCCCATCAAAAGTCCTGTAAACCATGTAGATGGTTTTCTGGTAGCCATGTTAATTTGACATGGCTTGGCTGGTTGGCTCTTCATTGCTGATTGGACCAGAAGTGAATACTTAGCCCAAGCTAGGCCAACCAGATTCTTTTTCCAGGAAAGTAGGAACTGTGATTCAGGCATAGACTGTCAGCCTCAGCATTACTCTGAACTGTAATATGTAAACTCAAGACAGCCACATGTGACTGAGAAGTAAAGAAAGCTGGTGCTTGGAAGAATGGAGCAGATAGGAAGAAGTGAGCAGAGATGGGGTGCAGGATACTGCCTATCTGCCTCTCTGCTTTCTAGTTCCCAATATAGAGCCCTCCTGAGGCCTGGCTGCCCTTGGCTTCCAGGGTACAGCCCTGTATTCTTATTTAACAAATCCTTCCTGTCTGTTTCACTCAGGTGAGAGAGCTTGATAATGAGAAGCATTTAGATATGAGTTGTACTGTAATAACTAAGATGCTGAGGGTGGAGCTCATGACATACTGGTTTTCAGTAAATTCCTACTATTTAACAAACAGTAATAAAGTGATATTGAATTATATGGATAAACTATCAATAGCTTATTTAAGTATTTTAAAAAATCTATATAATATTACATATATTTCAAAACTTTAATTCAGATACACTTATCTCTAATAAGCCTAATAAAATAAGGTTCTTCTATGTTGACAAATGACTTGTATCAATGACATTTTTGAAATAATGAAATTATTTTGAGATTATGAACTTTGAAATTATGAAAAAGAGAATGGCCATTTGAACTCATATAAGCTATCTTGATGAATGTAAAAGCACCAGGTGATACAAAGGTTTATGTCTAAAATGCACTGAACATCAAGTACCTATTAAGATGAAATATCTATGCAGACAGAATAATACTAAGTAAATGAACATTTAAAGAGAGTTTGCTATGTTGCCAGGAACTGTGCTAAGGATTTTTCATATATTCCCAAAATACTACTGAGGTAATTATTATGCCTGAATTACTTTGACTCAAATGACTTTCTCAAAGTCCCCCAGCTAGTAAAAGGCAGAAGTGCCATATAAACCTAGTTACACTATTAATCAAGACAACACAGTCTGATTAAGAAGAGTAGACTAAACTAAAACTTCTAACAAAAAGAACTTTGCAAGCTCTTCAGAAGTTTGGGAAACAATTTTAAGAAACCAAGAAAAATGGAGAGTCAATCCCTAAATAATCCTTGTTTTAAATTTAGCTTTTTAATGATTCTTACCGGGGGTTAGAAGGAGAAGGTGGGTTCATTTCTTTCTGATAGTGACGGCCCTGGTTGACAGGCTGTAAAAGACAAAACATATCTGAGGTACTAATCAGCATAATGCTCTTTATATAAACTTTCACATGCACTCTCACTACTTTAGTTTTTTTCCTGAGAAATAACCTGTAAGAAGGTTATTTTATGAAGAGTTAAAGGTTGTTTGGGAGATCCAGGAAGTAACAACGTGGTATATGAGGGAAAGCAGAGGTTATTTTAATGGCCAGTCACTGGATTAGACAGCATCTATGGTGTGACTAAAGTTCATGTGTGGAATTCTCCTCTTTGTGGAGTTTTTACACTGTTAACAAAGGTTGCTATTTCCAGATCCAACAACACAAAATGTCTCCTGGAACTAACGCTGCATAGCATATGTTAGCAGTAGACTGGAGACTCAGAGATACGGAATATACATACATTTATATCTCAGTATTACTGAATGTGCAGTGATATTATCTATTTTCACTATTAGATACAGCATATACACACATTTATATCCCAATGTTACTAACTTTGCAAGGACGATGGTTACTCTCACTACTGGAGTTGCACATATAAATCTTAGGTCAATGCAGTCAGTTTCCCCTAGCATAATAGAACCTCAGGCATTAATCAACAACTGAAAGAACTGATACCAATACCTAACAAACATGCGAAATCTGAATTTTCTCCTCCGCAAGAAACCTTTTCCAAAACATAGCTAAAAAACTACATTTCATATAAGCCTTAAATACTTGCCTCCAACGCAACTTGATGTTTTTCCTTTGTTCTATAAAGGGAGAAAATTCCATTATATCTGATAGAAATTCTTTTTGAACATCTCCTCAAAGTATTTCTTTTATGTGGTTAGCAACCATGTAATTCTAATATGAAAACCATTTTTAACACTCTCATTTCATTACAATTTTGAATTTGGTATACATGTCTGAATAGCATTTAAAAGACTTCTGTTACTTCCTTACTTAATGGGGTTGGTGTTAAGGTTTTAAGGTGTTAAGGTTTTCTCAGCCATAATGTGGCCCCAGCTGAAGAAAACAGTGTGGCAATGATGCCTGTACATAAAAGGCACATATTCCTTATTTTCCACATATTCCTTAACTTAGTGGGGTCCTAAAATATTAATGACATGGGTGGTGGGAATTCTTTAAACCGTTTTTCCCTATAAATAATCTCTTGGAAGTGTTTCTTTAAATCAAACACCCTGTCTGATAACCACAGTCACTTAGCCTATCTGTGATGCACCATGAATTTAAATGTGCTCAGATACTTTGGTAATTGAACGAATATCAATACATCACCATTTCAGTAATAAGAAAAACAGCTGGGAGAACAGTAGAAGGAAAAACATATCATAAGACATATTTGATCTCACTGGAGAAATAAGACTTCCAGCACTTTGCAAGTAAAATTTAGTTCTATGATTTAGGCTTTATTATTTCACAGCATAAAAGGAATTAGTAAGCAAAAGGCCTAACAGGTTCTCTAGACCAACTCACAGTGGTGTAGAAATACTCCCAGTAATATATTCATTAGTATTCATCCAGAATTTCAGCTGTACTCAGGCCTCTAGTGAATGGATCTCCACCTATTTACTTTTTGAAGCATTTAAATAACTCTCTAAGCATCACAGTTCTGCTATTCAGACAAATTTCCATTTTCCTAATTTTATGCTGTTAATTCTATTTTACACCTGTCCCTAACTCCCTTCTTCCAAATGACTCACTCCACTCTCTGGAGAATAGAAATGGTTACAGAATGCTGTTTGGTTTGTGACCGAATTCTCACTTAGGCAAACATGCCCTTCCACGTTTGCTCATGTTTCTATAAAACAGACACAATGATACAAAGAGTAAAGAAAATACACTAACATAAAAGATTCACATTCACAGTGATTTTAAAGTGTAAGAAAATAGAGAAATAATCAGTGTAAACTTTTTGAAGTAATAAGGACTACTGACATGAATAGACAGAAAGGTAAATAAAAAAAATTCAGTTAAAAATAACTGCAAGGTGGTGGAACCAGGTCTGAATACCCAATTCTTTAACTTAATTTTTACTATTGAAAACTAAGTTTTTACCCCCAAATGTTTTATTCAATAGTGAATTGAAATTTAATAGTAGCATATCATGGTAAAGCATTCTGACTCATACATGTAACTGCTAAAACTGACATAAACCCCAACTGCTAATGACTCTGTCGGGGAAGAGTCCAAGTCTTGCTTTCAGGAGGGTACAATACAAAATTGGGTGGCCTCAGTTCCCCCTCTGTACATGTCTTCTAATTTCATAATCACGTTCAGGGACAGGAAGGGATTATGGCAATGATGTAGCTAAAAAGCTCCTTTACGATACTCCAGTTCCCACAACTTTGCTTTTAATGCTTTCAAAAGGCAGAGCTTTCACTTTAATGATGTCTTTTTGTTTTCCCGGCCCACATCAGAATGGCCTAATTGCTTCTAACAGCTCTCTGAGCATGATGGAGGTGGAGGCAGGGGTAACAGATGAACCGTCTGAAGCCAAACATCCCCACCCACAAATGGAATAGATAGGTTTCTGTACATGTGCAGCAGTAAACCAATTTCGACTATTTCTAGGTAGGGAACATTCCATGAAAGCACCAGTTAAAAAAAATATGATCAATTTTTTTTATTTTGGAATTCAGCAAGAAGCAGCACAGGAATAATAATGAACACCTACAAATGACCAGTCCATGGAATTCTCCAGGCCAGAATACTGGAGAGGGTAGCCTTTCCCTTCTCCAGGGGATCTTCCCAACCCAGGGATCCAACCCAGGTCTCCCGCATTGCAGGCGGATTCTTTACCAGCTAAGCCACGAGGGAAGCCCTACAAATAACCAAGACAACAATAAGTAATAACAGTAGTAACTGATATTTATTGAGGACTTGCTCTGTGTTAAATCCTTGCTGGACTTCCCTGGTGGCTCAGAAGGTAAAGCGTCTGCCTACAATGCGGGAGACCTGGGTTCAATCCCTGGGTTGGGAAAATCCCCTGGAGAAGGAAATGGCAACCCATTCCAGTATTCTTACCTGGAAGATCCATGGATGGAGGAGCGTGGTAGGCTACAGTCCATGGGGTCGCAAAGAGTGGGACACAACTGAGCTACTTCACTTTTCCACTTTTTTCCATTTTTTCACAGTTCTATGAAATAGATAGGATTAACAACTGCATCTAAACGAGGAGGAAATAGGATTCTGTAACCATTTCTGTTCTCCAGAGGGTGGAGTGATCATTTGAAGAAGGGGGTGTTAACCTAAGGTCATGCCAGTCAGGAAATAGTGGGGCCTGAATTTGAACCCATCCAGTTTCATTCCTCAGTTTACCCTCTTAATCAGTAAGTCGCAGGGCTTAATCTAGCTCAGAGGTTCACTTAAATCAGTAAATAAATAGGTTTTGAATAACAAACATGACAAACTCAGTTCAGTTAATGGCAGGAAGAAAAAGTGGTCCTGAAATACATGTATTTGATATATGTAGGACTATCTCCTTACCATAAATTAAATTCATTTGATTTCATTCTTCTGACATGTAACTATATATTTAAAATCAAAGAAAATGCTTGCCACATTGCTAAATTTGAGACAACATAAGATATAATAGACAACCCTCTAAGAAAGAGAAAAGTTTATTTCATGAAGTGACTTTCATAGTCATTAAACACACAACTTGCACATTTTAATATTTTTTCCTGACAGCACAGATACTACACTGACTCCAGTATTAGTTTTCATATATCATTTCTATTAGTGGTATAAAGAACAGCTTGCTCATCTGATTTATCTGCACCTTAGCATAATCAACCAGGAGGATTAAAAGACAACTCATTATACCCAAAGACAGCTGAGAAGTTAATGAATCTGTAGATCAGAACAAAGTAAGACCTATTAACTAGAAAGAGCCTGAAATGCTAGTATATTACATATTGTACACATGGCAGCCAGCAACCATCATGTAAAACACTGATACATTTATGAGCCAAGGAATGGAACAGAGCCTAGAAACTTGGGACCTTGTCCTCTGGGTGGTGCTGTTGCTACGCACTAGAGTCGGGAAAACACCACACATGAAATGAACTATCACTGAGCACAAGAAGCTCTGCTTTTCCAGGATCAAGCTGCTAGACATTTTGGGGTGAGGGAGAGAAGTGAAGGCTAAATTAAAGAACAGGAGATAAGATAATCTTATCATGTTAAAAGGTAAAGGAAATATTTTTCTGTTGTTATGTTAAAACCTTTGAAAATGGCAAAAAAATGTTGCAAGGTTAATCAAGACCATAAATAACTTGTCTGAGAACTTCACCATACGCTTGCAATTTTATTAAGTGCATTTTGCCTCGTTTTTCTCCAAATATTATGCTCTGCAGTATGCCACGTTAATGGATGCATGCGAAGATTTTTTTTTTTTTAAAACAAGCTGAGGAGACTTATGTGCTTGATATTAGGTCATGGGAATTAACTTAGAGGAAGATGGTTTTGAGGCATCTGCTTACAAAGTATCACATGAGGCATGCTTTTCTTCAATTTAGATTAGAGGTGGGACAGAGAAATAATGAAATATTGGAACAATGAGTTAAGTCAAGCTCTGAGGGGTCAGTCTGAATGCTAAGCTCACATCAAAACAAGCACACCAGAACCTCAGCCCACCCTTACAGCCTTCAGTGGTCACAATAAGAGAAAATATCCTAGAAATCTTTTCTGATCACTCAAGTGGTCCTTTGACGAGAGCATCTTTGGGAGAGCAGCAAATTACAGTCAGCGTCAGCTTATTACCTGAGGCCCTAAAGCACACACACTGCATGTACACGATCGTTTCCACCATGCCAACACAGTGAAGGGCCTCTACTACTCCCATTTCACAGGTGGTCACGCTAGCAAAAGGCAGAGCTGGGGTTTGAGACCAGGCTGGCTGACACAGAGTCTAAATTATTTTGGTCGTCACTTTTTCCATTAACAGCTATTCCTCTTCTGAAAAGGAACCACATACCACATATGCATACACACACACG